CTATAGTGCCAATGAAAAGAAGATTTAATTTCAGAAAGGCTAATTGGAACGATTTTAGTACAGATCTGGACTCGAAGATCACAAACCTTGCACCATCCACGGAAAACTACGAGGCTTTTGTGAATATAGTTAAAAGAGTATCGAGAAAACATATTCCAAGGGGCTGCAGAACAGAATATATAACGGGTCTTTCCTCAGAGCTAACAGAACACATGCGTGCATACACAGAAATGTATGAGAAGGACCCTTTTGGATATGAAACCATAAATAAAGGTGAATTTTTGCTAGAAGCAATAGGTACAGAAAGGAGAGCAAATTGGATAAATTTAGTAGAAAGCATTGATATGAAACACAGTAGCCAAAAAGCATGGGGCTTAATGAAGAAACTAAATAACGATCCAAAGCAAAGGAATTCACAGAACTTAACCACACCAGATCAAATCGCACACCAACTTCTCTTAAACGGAAAAGGTCAGAGGGAAACAAACCAAAAGAGAACCCAGAAAAAACACACGACTGAAAATGAAGAATGTGGACATTTTAAAGAGCAATTCAATATAGAAGAATTAAACGAAGCCATTAAGATGCTTAAAAATAGGAAAGCCGCTGGACTGGATGATATATGTGTAGAACAAATTAAAGAATTCGGTCCTAAGACCAAACAATGGATACTAGAGCTATTCAATGAAATCAGATCTACCTACAAACTGCCAAAAATTTGGAGAAAAGCTCACATAATAGCCCTTTTGAAACCAGGTAAAGAACCAACAAGCCCCAAAAATTTCCGGCCGGTATCACTTCTATGTCACTTATATAAAGCCTTCGAAAGAATGGTTCACAACCGTATAGTTAGACATATTGACGAAAAATTGATACAGGAACAAGCAGGATTCAGGAAAGGTAAATCATGCACAGGGCAAATACTAAATATGACCCAGTTTATTGAAAATGGATTTGAAAAGAAAAATATCACTGGAGTAGCCCTTATAGACCTGACAGCAGCCTATGATACGGTAAGCCATAGGATTTTATTAGACAAAGTCTACAAACTAACTAAAGACAAAGGTTTTATGCAGATAATAAAGGCACTACTCCAACATAGAAGATTTTACGTAACTCTAGGAAACAACAAAAGTAGATGGAGAAGACAAAAAAATGGTCTTCCACAAGGCAGTGTGCTGGCCCCAATCCTATTCAATATCTATACGAACGATCAACCGATCACTCCAGGCGCCAGGCACTTTATCTACGCCGATGACACAGCGATAGCAGTTCAAGATAACAACTTTGAAGGAGTAGAATCTAAATTAGAGGCCTCACTTAAAACTATGACAAAATATTACCAAAACATGAAACTGAAACCTAACCCGACGAAAACTCAAATATGTGCGTTCCATCTGAAGAACAAACTAGCGTCTAGAAAGCTGGACATCACCTGGGAAGGAGTTAAGTTAGAACACACAACCCATCCTAAATATTTAGGCGTTACCCTTGATAGATCACTCAATTTTAAAGAACACTGTGTTGCCTTGAAACGGAAAATATGCACTAGAAACACTCTATTGCGAAAATTGGTTAGCTCAAAGTGGGGAGCTCAACCCGAAACAGTTAGAATCTCGGCACTAGCTCTATGTTTCTCGGTGGCTGAATATGCATGCCCGGTGTGGGGAAGATCAACACACACTAAACAAATTGATACTGCTTTAAATGAAACGGTTCGCATTATAACAGGATGCTTAAAGCCAACACCAGTAGACAAATTATACCTTCTAGCAGGAATAGCTCCGCCACATATACGTAGACAAATTGCAAGTGACATAGAACGGACGAAACAGATCACGGATGAAAGGCACCCGATGTATAACACACAAGTGGAAGGATTCCGACTAAAATCAAGAAAGAGCTTTCTAAAATGTACTAAGAAATTAGAAGATGACCCACAGACATCAAGATTAAAGTTATGGGAGGTAGAGAGCAAGCAAAAAGTTGAAGAGAAGTTACCCCCGGGACATAACAATAAATGGATGGTCTGGAGAACACTAAATCACCTACGTACAGGAGTCGGTCGTTCGAGGGAGAACCTAAAAAAATGGGGAATAAGCAACGAGAATGAAGACATGAGCTGTATATGCAGAGAAGTCCAGACAATGTCGCACCTCCTAAACTGCAATGAATGTCCAATCAAATGTAACGTAACAGACTTACAAGACGCAAATAGCAAGGCTATAAAGTTGGCAGAATTTTGGAGCGATAAAATTTAAAAATTTGAAAAAACAACTCATACGTTACCTTTTAGAACCACCCATTGTTACCATTAATATAATTACCATTATTTACTAAGTACATTATTCCATATTATGTTATTTTATTTTATTTTATGTATACCAGTTGATTTTTTGACTAATTGACTAATTGATATTATGTTTTGTTATTTATAGTTTAAATGTAAGGATGTTTACCTATATATTTAATTACCTGTAAAATGACCTGTCATAACCCCGACTCGTAAAAAAAAAAAAAAAACGGTTGTTATTGATACATGTAGAGCCATTATAAAAAAGTTGATGTCTGAAGTTATGCCAGTGCCCACAGAAACCAAGTGGAAGGAAATTGCTGAAGATTTCTGGGCACATTGGAATTTTCCGAACTGTATTGGAGCCTTGGATGGCAAACATATAGTTATACAAGCCCCACCCAATAGCGGATCATTATATTTTAACTATAAAAAAACCTTTTCCATTGTGCTCTTGGCTCTCGTTGATGCCCACTATAATTTTATTGCTATAGATGTAGGTGCGTATGGCAAAAATAGCGATGGTGGAATACTTATAAACTCAAAGTTAGGTAAAATGCTTGCTCTACACTTCCAGGAACATCATATACTGCGCCATTTGTAATATTAGGCGATGAAGCATTTCCTCTTAAAAGCTACTTACTCCGACCCTATCCCGGAAAACAATTGGATAGTGAAAAAAAGAGGATTTATAATTATCGACATTGCCGCACGAGAAGAGTTGTTGAAAATGCGTTTGGGATTTTAACTCAAAAATTTCGAATATTTAATAGGAGAATACAAGCTAACCCAGAAAACGCCGATCTTATTGTGCTAGCATCATGTGTCTTACATAACTTTATAAAAATATACGATTGTAAATTTTCGTATAGTCGGAACGTTACTGAAGGTACACCGTTAAATGTAACTACGCTAAAAACTATACAATTTCAAGGAGGAAATGCGAGTCAAGAACCATTTCATGTAAGGGAGCTTTTTACAGATTTTTTCAATTCACCTAGTGGAAAAGTTTCGTGGTAAAATGAGTACATTTAATTTTTATTTTTATCTTAAATATAAATAAAGACGTGTAGTTATTATTATTAATTATTATGTATATATTTAATTTAGGTAACTAACTAAGCAGATACCTCCTAAGTATATTATTATATTATACAGTGTGATCACGATTTATGGTAACACTAAATATCTCAGGTGCATGACCTTGTATTGAAACGGGGTTTTCGGGAGGTGATAGGGAGTACATAAGTACATATTTTTGGATAAATTTCAAATTTTTAGCTCACTTGGTATGCTCATGCGCAATACAAATTACTTTTTTTTTAATGGCAACCCCAGTTTTTTTCTGCAGGTTCGGGTAGAGTATATTTTTTTAAACATTTATTGTATAAAAAGTTTTTTTTTTATTTTCAAAACTGACCAAGTTAGAGTAAGTCAAAAATTGGATTTATGCATAATATGTGTTTAATGCAATTTTCATTTATAACCACTGGAAATAATAAAATAAGTGCCAAATAAATGTTTAATGGGGGACGGAGTGGCCGAGTGGACTAAGGCGTCGGTTATGACGCGCACCGTCGCCGGTTCGAACTCAGCTGCGGGCGGCATTTTTCTTCTGGCAGTCTCGGTGTCCGGAGAGAGAGGCCGTCATCCACCACCCGGGCATGGCAGATACCTACGTGTGTGTTTGTTTTGGCAGAATTTTTAAGTGGACACCCGTATAGGTATCTGCCAGGCCCAGGTGGTGGATGAAGGCCTTTCTCTCTCCGGACACCGTGACTGCCAGAAGAAAAATGCCGCCCGCAGCTGAGTTCGAACCGGCGACGGTGCGCGTCATAACCGACGCCTAAAAGTTGCGTAACATAGGAGTTTATCCCAATTGTTGTCTTTGTCTACGAAGCTACGTAAGTAAGCTTTTAAAGTTTTATGTGACCTTTCCAAAAACCCGTTTCCCTGTGGGTGCCATGCCGTTGTCTGAATCTTTTTAACGTTCAATAGTTTGCACAAGCCTTTAAAAACGTCGGATAAAAAGTTTGTTCCACAATCGGTTAGAATTGATTTCGGAATTCCGTATGTACATACGTAACATTCGACGAATGCCTGTGCTACGGTTGGAGCGTCAGTAGAAGATAATGCAATAGCAAGTGCGTAACGAGATAACTCATCCTGCAAAGTTAAGATATACATATTCCCCATTAAAGTTTTCGGTAGTGGTCCTACGATATCAAGACAGATTCGTTCAAAAGGTTTAACTACTGTACTAGTAATTAACATAGGTTGTTTTGTTTTAACATGTGATTTGTTTTTCTGACATAGTTCACAGGGATAAATATAACGTTTAACGTCTTTTTTTAATATTACGCCAGTCGTGGTTAAGTTTTAATCGTTTTAGCGTGCGTGATACACTGGAGTGCCCGCCCAAAGGTGAATCGTGCAAGTGCTCGTAAATAATTTGTTGTTTTTCCTCGTCGGTAAAACGTTCACCCGTATATATTTTTACTACGATGTCGGTCGAACGAAACACGTACCGAAACATCGTTACACTAATTGGTACTGAAAAACAGATTTAATGATTGCAATTAGTCTAATGACCGTTGCCAAGCTATTTGAACTGCACCTACATATTAGAATTGTGGCGGACCAATTCCACATGACCTCCCTCTGCCGGCGGTAGTATCGTATATCTTTGCTATTGTTCAACGGTTGGTCACATTGCGATCGCGCCCAACGGTGGGTAGTACATATTACGTGTGTTGTCGATAGAGGTGTTAGAATGGATGATGGAGATAAATTGGTCTTTAAATGGATACCAATCATCGAAATCCCCCTCAAATGTAGGTATATTAATCGGTGGCAGTCTAAGTGTATTGTTAGAGTTTTCACTTTTTTCAGACACGCTTGTCGCAGCTGTCCGTTCATGTAACCGACCTGTTAATTTACCTTTAGCTTTAACATAGTAGTCACTGACCGTTTCTAAATCCTCTATGAGCTTGTCGATTTCCTCGTCGTTGGCTTCCACTATTTTCAAATCGTAGGCATCGTTGTACTTACTGAAAGCATCTTCCAGTAAGTTCAACTGAAGTTGAGCTTCCTCATCTGTATAACGATTAACCACGTCTTCGGTCAGCTTCTCTCGTTTTTTCAGTATGAGTCTGCCTTTGTTTTTGAGCGTCTTAAAATCCATTGTGTATGTATATTACCACGATGCGAATGTATTATAGGCGAAGGAAACGATAACTACGCTAGCGTAACTACAAGTACGGAACTAAACATATCGAGTGCCGCATGTAAATTTACTTGTGAAATTCTGCAGGTATCGAACTCACTTGTGTACGAGTCGATGCGAATGGATGTAAAAACTGATGTATCCGGCTCGAAGGACCATTAATGTATATAGAAAATGTAAATGGGTGTAAAAAAGAACATGAGGTTTTTCTGTCGAATGTGGACTGTATATTTTGTATATTTGAAAACGAAACAGCATAACATGTTATCAAAAAAGAGCGCGTACTAAAACGATAAAATATAACCATAACCTTAAAATATAACATGGTTAATAAACTGATATAAAGGTACATGATAAGATATGATAACAACGAAGTTTTATCAAACAATCAGTCAGTATTAACAACAATGTACGCTATACAAATATTTTCAATTGATTACAACACTTGCCCGACAATGTCATTACAATGTGGGATTTTATAAAACTACTAAATTTAAACACCAGTGGACTACAGTTATAATGATTAATTATCTTTTAGCACATTTTGTGAAGTAAACCCTATTCTGATGAATAAAATCAAGATAAGGTTTTCAACACTTACATTTCAAACCAGCAACACACATCACTTACCTATTTTATTATTACTAATAATATATTACTGTTTTAACCAACTACTAAAATATATAATCTCACACCTCACACACAATTGTCAATTGACAAACGTTACAGTTACAGTTCATAAAACAATTAGGAACAAGGAAATAATAAATAACAATAAAAGTTACATGAAATGGTGCTTTATTCATTCTGAAAAATATTTTAAAAAATACAATTGTTAAATAAATTATGAAGTAGACAAAATCGTCCAATTGAAACTTACCATCCTCCATGACCTCCCACCTCCCACTGCCTTCCGACCCGATCACACTGAAAATGATGTATATAATTATATTTTTTTAATATTTTTATTTATATAATATTGACTATTCATACGTTGGAGTTACAGGCGTTGAGGAGGCGGTCGTGAACCCCACCTCCTCACCCGTCGATTTTGGAGTCGAGGCTGCGGCCGGCTCCTCCACCGCCCTCGGCGTTTGACCGACAAAACTACTGAAAACAATACATTTTATGTTTTTGATGATGATTGACATATTTTGGTATTTGCGATCTTACCTTAACCCACGGCCCCGCCGCCTCGACCCTCGCTGCTGCTGTTGCGGTGGCCGCTGCCGTTGCTGTTGTTGTTGCTGCTGCGGCCCCGACGAGGACGCAACCGGCGATGCCGCAGGTACCACGCAGGGGGAGTCTAATAAAATTCACAATAGCTTAGCACGTGAAAAAATAAATAATAGGACAAACTTACCACAATTCCTCGCCAGGTGACCCACCTGTTGGCACCTGTAACATCCTGAAACGTACAAATCATGTTTAGTGTATACTTGGCTTATGCAATACGCATGTGCTTTTTTTATTAGATACTTACGTCGGGCGTTTCCTCCCGGACGCCGCACGAGGACAGCATTGTGGTACACGGGTGCATTGTACACCAGCATACCACGGCCGTTGTAACTATGACTTACACTGTCTTTCGGCATGATAGATTTAAAAAAAAAAAAAAATTGTTTTATTCAAATACGTATGAAATTGTTCGATACATAACCTAAGAAATATTATTTTAATACTATAACCGACGTGTACTCACTTCAAAGATGTTTTGAGAAATGATTGATAAAAACCAAACAACATGCAGCTGGCAATGCATTAGATGTTTCTTGACGTGGTAAAAATAGCAGCCAATCAGAAAATTAGATTTTGTCGACTTATTGGTTATAACCGCGAAAACATAACAATGATTACATTGATTACAATGAAGCCTACACCTGATAACTGTTCTCTATAATCATCAAAAAATACAATTTTGTTACCTCCTGTATACTTTTTCAGATTTGAAAGGCCGTTTCGAGCACTTTTCGCTGTAGGCGGATTGTCCGTTCAGGAATCGACTTTCACCCGAGATGACTGATAGCTAGACACGTAAACTCTGAATCCGAATTTCCGATTTCAACACACACACTCAAGAACCGGACATACACGCCCGGGGCATGCCTACCTGACTAGCTACTTGCATACGAGCGACTTACACCCCCACTGCATCCGATCCGCCACAGGCGGATTGTCCGTTCGGGAATCGTCTTTCACCCGAGATGACTGATAGCTAGACACTCAAACTCAGAAACCGAATTTCCGATTTCAACACACACACTCTAGAACCGGACATACACGCCCGGGGCATCGTCTGCGATCCTCGGATGGCCTACCTGGCTGGCTGTGTCGTACGATCGACTTGAATCGCCTGACTTACGACTAGACACTCTTCCAAGTTCAAAAATTACCACTTAACCAGTGCTGCCAACACGACAAAACACAATACCCGACGACCCCGCGTTCCCGCCGCAGGCCGGATCAAAAAACCCAGCTCGAGGCGAAGCGACAAAGATGCACCACCGCCCACATAGTCTTTCCGCCGTAGGCGGGATGACAAGCACCCGAATTTAGTCTCTTATATTATAAAACGCAAATGGTCCCCTGTTTTGTCCGACAGGCGCGACGCAGCAAATAAGGAACGCCAATCAGAAAATTCCGTCTCCGCGGCCGCGTTATCACTTCTTTTCTTATCATTTCACCGATTTTTGAAATTTTCGAAAATTTACTCTTTTCACTCTATTTCGACCGTTTTCAATCGTTTTCGCCCTTTTTTATACTCGATTCGCGTGGCTCGCGATCTCTCGAAGCCGCCGGTGGGTGTTTTATATCCGTGCGCCGTCTGTAGCCGTCGCAATGTCGATCGCAAAATACGCTACCGGCCGGACTTTTTTGCCGATTTTTTTCGTTTTCTCCGACAGTTTCGTCATTTTTGGTATATGCTTCTCTTAAAATTGTTTCAGATGTTATGAAGTTTTGCACTTCGCATGGTTGGCGTTCGTTGGTGTCCTGTATAGGTTGTGGTGTATTACATATTCTATATATTGAAGTTTCCTTACATTCGTTTAATTGTTGATCTGTGTATGTGGTATACCTTTTATAACCTTTGGTTACAGCAATATTATTGTAAGTAATGTCCGTTAGGTACCATCCACTAGAATTATCTTGCTTATGACGCATAGTTCAGTGTCAATAATCAATGGTATTACTATATCAAATACTAATCTGTCGTTCGAATAGTAGATTCTTATTTTTGTAATTTTTTGAAATTCATTTAGTTCCCATCTCCTTGTTCCCATCGGAATACTGTATATTTTCTTTATATTTTGTTCTATTGTTTTTAATGTTGATGCTAGTTCTTGCGGTGTCATAAGACCTGGGTGTATCATACCTTCTCTAGCGGCGGTTACTATTTGTCACAATGTTTCTGTTTCGTAGGAATATTGATTTATAATTATTGTGTATAAATTATGTATTTCATTTTTCATTTGTAAATCTAATATATCATTTGTTTTGTTTTGTATTTTTGACATTTTTTCGTATAGTTTTTGTTCCTTTTCCGTAATATTATTGTATAATTGTTCGGTTTGATTTATTGTATTACCGATACTTCTTATTGTTGATTTTACTACAGTGGTTTGGGTTTCCATTATGTGTAATATGTTAGTTCCTGATTCTTCCGTTTTTTGTATAGCTTCTCGTGTTTTCTTAGTGCATTTGTCATCACATACGCCAAATAATGTATGCATGGTGTTACCTATTATGTTTATTAGTCCTCATTTCTTTCTATGTTTATCTTCCTTTATAGTACTTCCTAGTGACATATATGTACGTTCTTTTTGTTTAGTTATTTCATTATATAAATCTGTAATTACTATTTGATATTTTCCACATAAATCTTGGTATTTCTGGTCAGTACATAAATTTGTTATATTTTTTATTTTTTCCCCCAATAGTTCATATTTCGTGTTATATTCTTTTAATGAGAAAAACATTACAAGACTGTATTGAGCCCCTATTAATCTAACTGGAACCAACCCTTCATATTGTATTCCCCTGCCAACTCCATAAGGCCTATACGAAAAGTACTCTGATGTATTTATTTCGTCAGAGTCGACAGTATTGACTAGAAAACTCGTCACCATCACCAATCTAAAAGTATAAAGTATATTCATATTAAACTAACTATCTTATTATAATCTTATAAAATAATACCATCTTATATAATCCAAAATATCTCTAGCATCATGTAAGAGTTACATATAATCTATTAACCGTTTACATAAGGTATTTGTGGGTAATTTGTAAATTTGTTTGTAATTTCTTTGTCTGTCCCTAAAATTAAAATTTATTTTTTATTGTATTTATTTTTTGTTATTATTTTATTGTATTTTTTTGATTAGATTATATAAAGAAAACATGGATCCCAGAAAACCTGATGAAACCCGGATTCGTATCTACGTCATTCGAAATCTTGCGTATATATATTTTTTTCTTATGAATTTATTTAATGCATTTTTTTTTTTATCATTATTTTTTTATTAGCTCGATGTCCAGACATAACGATGGTGATAGAATGGCCAGAGGGGTTTACCCCTCCACCGGACCATGTCGTATCTGGTATTTTGTTACTGGATGATGAAGAAGATGATTCCGACTAATTAATTTAAAGGAAAAACTGTTTATTAGACTGAACTAATTTTCATGATGTTAATTATCATATATATTTTGTTTAATAAATCAGTTTTTAATCTTAATTTGAATCACCTTTTATTGGGATAAAATTACATTGGGTTATTAATTATTTTCTGAGAATAAGTTTTTATAATATAGTAGGTCTTCTGGTTCCGGAATAATGTCGATACAATCTATTAGGTCCTGACAGTTAATTATTTCCAAATCTTCCATTCTGTTTTCTGTCATATCTTGGAGAAACGTTTTTATGTTACGGGAATCTCTTTTAATTCCACTTCGGTGTATGGTATGGTTAATTCATTATTGGCTCTAGTTATGTGCTCTATAAAACAGTTTGAAAATTGTCCTATGCCTAAATTTGTTGTATTGTGGTTTCCGCTTGTTATTTCTTTCTCCAATTTCAAAATGAATGTTCTATTTCTATTCCTAAAATTAATATAATTATTCTAACTTAATATTGCTATATACTTATTATTTTTATTATTGCTATTTTTTTTTTAATTAATTAACTTGTGCCTCATTATAATATTTTTTACGTTATTTCTATGTACAGTAATGACCTTGCAGCCTCGCTGTATAGCTACATTCTCGTTCCCTATAACTGCTGTGACCACGTACGGTCCTAGCCAGATTGGGTCGAGTTTCGTTCTATGATTATTATCTTTTAATAGTACTAAATCATTAACGTATAGTTCTTGTGGATTTTCATTTTTATCATAACGTTCCTTACTTTTTATTTTATTTTTAATTCAATGATATCTAGCTATCTTATGCGAAATTTGCATATTTTCTTTTTTTTTTTTTCGAATATATAATCGTCGTAATTGTAACGTGGTTCAGGTTTGGCCTTCGAGTTAATCGGTACCTCCAATGTACATCTATGAACTAATGCGTATGTTTGAAAATTAGTAGAAATATGTATACTGTCGAATTATATACAAAGAATGTAAAGGGTAATAAATTATTCCAATTATTTAAATTCTTATCTACATAATGCCGTAAGTACTTGGCTAAAGTCCTATGAGAGCGTTCTACTGGGTTACCCTGCGGTCTGAATGAACTTGTGTTAACCTTTTCTATTTTTAATATTTTACAAACATTTGCAAACGTTTTCGAGAGGAAATTAGTTCCTTGATCCGTGAGTATTGTTTTTGGTATACCGTGTACACATAAGAAGTGTGTAACAAAAGCTTCCTCAACAGTATTTGCCTTCTGGTCAGGAAGTGGAATTCCTAAAGTGTAACGTGTCAAATCGTCCTCCATCGTTAAAATGTATACATTATTGGACAGTATAATCGGCAAGGGCCCTACTATATCCATAAATATTTTTTCGAATGGTTTAGACGAAATGGATGTAATAGTCATTGATTGTTTTATGTGCCGATTTGATACCTTATTAACCTGACATGACGCACAATTCTTTATATATTTTCTAACGTCTTCTTTCATACCCTTCCATAAGAATTGTTTTTTAATGCGCTTAATGGTTTTATTCACACCTAAATGTTCGCCTAGTTTTGAGTCGTGAAATTGTGATAAAATGACTGCTTTTTCTTCTTCACTATATTCTACATTTGCGCATATAATTATTTCTATATTTGTTTCGCGAAATATGTATCGTAACATTGACCTTATTTTTTCCCATTCTAAATCATCGTGATCGTGATAGCCTATCTTGCCCATGGCTAATTTACTCAGATTGTTTTCCTTACAAAATGGTTTTAAATTTATTAGTAATACATGTATGCTTTCGTAAGTGGCCTTCTGTCGGTCTTTATTTTTCGTTACTAAGAATATTATAAACCTGTTTTCTTGTTTGAAATAGGGTGTGTCTCCTATTACTTTACTAGTCGGCAATATTGTACCGTTTCCAAATTGTTTTTTTAACTGATAATTCGTTCCTGTTCTAAAATTATATTGCTTTGCAATTTCTGATACTATATTATATTTTTTTGGTGAATCTATTAGTGTACCTATAGTTTCTTTTACATTAATATTTGTGATAATTTGTGTTCCTAACTTTTCGATATATTGTTCGTATGATTTGTTTTTTATTTCCTGAATTGAATATATGCATGTGAAAGTATCTACATTTGAATTTAGAACTCCGGGTTTGTAACGTATTTGTAATTGATTTGTGTTAGCGGCGAATGAATTAAATGTTATATGATTATTTTCTAAGGTTGAGAATATGTGGAATATTCGTGAGTCGGTTGTTCCGCGATAATCTGGTTTATCGTACGAGTACCGCGCCTCTCGTTTGACACGTTTTCGTTTTCCAAATTATTAACGTTTCTACTCTCATCGTTTCTCTTTTTATAACACGAGTCGATATTATGACCAGTTCGATTACAGTATGTACAAGTAACTACCTGTATATTATTATTTGTAGGTGGTTGCGTAAAATTATTCCTATCAGGTGGACGATTGTTATTGCCATTGCTCGCATAACTAGGTCTCGTATTATTCCTACATTGAGATGCATAATGATTACCATTACAATTATAGCATTTTATTGCTGGCCTATTGATTGGTTGAGAAAAATTGTTTGCTCGTGGATAATTATTTGTCCTTACAGGGTTATTTGGTCTAATGTTTTCGTTGTTCCTATTTTCGTAATTCGATCTGCGCTGGTTATAATTTTGTGAATGAATATTCGAATAATGGTTCCTATTCTCCTGTTCTAATTTTAGTTCCACCTGTTCCGACATAGCAAGTTGTTTCGTGATCTCCAGGGTTTTGGGATTACGAAATTTTACTATTGTTTTAATCGGTTCTACTAATCCTTTAATAAATATCGCTAGAGTTTGTTCCCTTAATATATCATATATAATTTTTGCTTCTGCAGCTTCTTTGCCTAATGTACTTACGGTACATAACTGATAATATAGTTTCTCTACTCTATGACAATAATCATTTGCATCCTCATTGTGATACATTCTAATCGAATTTAATTGAAGTTGTAACGACGATGCCGTGGTTGTTACCTCAAATGCATCTGTTAAATAATTTATTATAAACTGCCATTTCGATACATTTTTGTATTTTATCATTTCTAATGCTCTACCTTAAACGTGTGGTAATATATTTTACTAGTGTTGGTGCACTATTTGTGTCGACTAAACTTACTGCCATATCGCATGCATTTATGAATTGATAGATATCGTCTATTCCTGTGCATAGTGGAATTAATTTAAAAGCGTCTTCTAATTTTATGGTTACTGTCATTTTTTTAGTGCGTGTTATAGGTAAAAATACTAATGACTGATGTTCAAAACTATCTGTAACTTGGCTACGTGTGATTACTCCAGGACTTCGGTTTCTACTTGCGCTATCTCCTAACTGGGTATCTACTATAATATTCAACTGGGCTTTCGGTTGGGCTTCAAACTGGGCTTGGGCTTCTGTCTGGGCTAATAACTGGGCTTCTAACTGGGCTTCTTCTACTACGCTAGTGTCATACAATGAATTAATTACTTTCAAGGGAGATGTACCTTCTTTGTCCATAAATTACTTAGCTACCTATTTAATACGTTAATACTCATAATAATAATGATCAACAATGCCCTATAAATACAATAATAACTTCAATAAACTTCAATACTACTTCAAAAATAAAAATGCCCTCAATAAATCAACAAACTTCAATAATAATCAATAATAACTTCAATAAAACATGCCCTCAATAATAAACTTCAATAATCAATAAAAATGCCCTCAATAAATTCAATAAAACTTCAATAATAATCAATAAAATATGCCCTCAATAAAATTTAAAACGGTTTACACCATTATACTTATAGTCAACTACTTATAATTATCTAATATGTCCTAATTATGTAACACATAATTGCATAACATAATAATTTGCATAACAGTTCTTTGTTGACGGTAGCCTTTGATGGTTGCCTCCCTTTGTAGAATCCAATACCGACTGCGCCAGTGTTACATGCGGCCCTTCAGGGATCCAAAAGCTTGTTGCACTTTTACAATAAAATGTAGTCAATTTAAATATAAATCAATTGTAATTTATTAAAACCAATAATAATTAATATAGTCGTGGTGAATTGCAGCGTCGTGAGTTGACTCGTTGTAGTAGTCGATAATCTCCGTGTAAGTTGTGTGTAATGGCTGGTGGCTAAGCGGCCCGCTCGGTCTTGGCGGCCCTGGTACATCTAACTCAGGCTGTCTCGTTGTCCCCTATATATATGGTGGCGGCGTCCTTTGAAGTGAGCGGCGTGTGTACAGTCGTCCTTGATATGGACCTCACGACTATGAAAGTGGTATTCTTAGTCGAAAACACTTTTGGGTGTGGTCGCATTCCTGGTTGTTTTTATGAGCAAATACATGATATTACGTAATCCCATTACAACGTTGAATTGTATTGTTGATTGCAGTTGATTCAATTAAAGATTTTTCTCTTCTTGATTTCGTTGAATTCGGATTTTGAATGACGTTGTATTGTTCTAATTCAATTTGTAGCTTAAAACATTCGACACACCGCTGCCACCAAAATGATGTAACGTGTCCGCTTCAGCACTCGAAATAGAATTAGTAGTTTATTAAAGATACACAAATGCTCGTATAATCAAAGTATTTTTATTAAATCATAACAAACGTCCGTCCTGAATTTAGAAGTACACACTCTCGTCGTTTCTTGTATTCGACTCCCCGAGTTTGTCTATGACTTTCCTATTTATGCTACGCGGAGGCACCTTGTTATGATGACGTCCGTACAATCTAAATCTGTACGCTATTTCTAGTCTTCACCTTTGATCTGTGCACACGCTTTCCTATAATATGGACTTTTAGCAAAGTCGACGAATGTCAGTAAATATATAATATTATACATATTATTTATATACTAATAATGAGGATTATTACAGTATATTCATTTTCTTCAATTTCAGTCACTTAGCCTATAAACGTTTCAATGTTTTTTTTAATTATTTAATATTTGACCATAACAAAATCATTAACAATTATTTCATCAGATTTTTTTTTTCTTCAGTCTTATAGTTAGTTGGTGTAGAGTATTTGTCTGTCTTATTTATATTATTATATTCAGTCTCATCTATAATATCACCATCATTATCATTAAATATATTTTGTACAATGTTATTACTAAATTCAGTCTCATCAGTTACTATCATGTAATCATACTCGTTTAATATATTTTGATCACTATAATCAATTTCAGTTTCATTAACTATTAACATTCTTTCACCTTCAATTAATACATTATTTTCAATTTTTTTAGCAGTATTTATTTATTTTTCTTTCTTTTTTTCTTTTGTATTTGTATTTATGGCATCTTCTATAGTGTGTTCATTATTAAATAATATGCTTTCTTCTGTCACACTGCATCCTGCTTTAATATTATATTTTTTTCTCTTATTGACTTTTTCACTTACTTTTCCAAACCTAGTTTCTTTGATAATATTATGTAGAGCTTCAGGAACTATTATGGATGCAGAACTGTTTATAGAAATCAAATCTTCAACAGGCAATCTTTTTAGTACTTTTTCTCTGTCAATGGGATATATTCCTGTTGCTTCAAACCCTGCTTTTATATTGGTAATTTGTGAAACTGAAAGATTTTCCAACGTTTTTTTAAGTAATCTAGGAAAATTCTCTTTTTGAATTGTACCTCTCCTAAATCTTTTATAAGCTTTTAAAACTTTTCGCCATGCTATTTTAATTGGCATAAAGCAAGACACGTCTAAAGGTTGTGTCAAATGGGTGCTATTGGGTGGTAAAAATATAAATTTTATATCATTTTCTTTACACAACTGGATAATTTTCATTGACATATGACTTGCTAGGTTATTACCAATAACTACTTTGTTACCTTCCAACCGTCGAAAATGGGGTATAACAACAGTTATGAACCAATCTTCAAAAATACTTTTGTTGAACCACCCAGATGGCGTTCGATTAGACCTGCATTTTTCCGGACCTTCAGTAGTCCATGAATCCCATAACTGTGTGGATTTATATACAACATAAATTGGTAACATTGAACCAGCGTCATCAACAGAAAACATCACTGAGGTTGCTGACTTTGTTGAATCCATTATATTGTCAGCATGTTTCGAGGTTTTTCTTACTAGGACTTTAATTCGACCAGGATCATCAACAAAATTTGTTTCATCGTAATTAATGATATTTTGTGGAGGTATACCTGAGAGAGAAATTTCCAAGTTATCAAAATATTCATTAACTACTGTTCTTGACACTGCAGCTAGTGAACGTTTTATATTTTGACCATGTCGTATCTTTAGAGCTTTATTGTGTCTTTGAATAAAATTCTTATACAAAACTTCACCAGGTAAATTGTTTTTAAATGGTTTAAGATTTTTGCCAGCACGATCCAAATAGTAGATGATTTCAGCATTGATTACATGCATTTAGTGGGGGGCTGCATAAATCGGGAAAGTAAAAGCCGGAAATACATATAACAGGAACAATAATATACAGTTAAGTATAACCATGGAAATTATTACACAGGAAACTGATATTCGGGAAAGATATTTTGGGGAAAATATTATTTAGGAAAATAAATTTCGGGAAATTATTCTATGGAAGGATATTACGTGGGAAAATTAAGTTCAGGAAATATTTTTTTGGGAAAATATTTCTTAAGAAAGTACTGAACTGGAATGAATTACATAGGAAAATATTTTTCAGAAGAGTATTTAACTGGAAAGCTATAACACAAAAAATTTAATTCAGGACAGTTTTTAACTGGAAATGTATTAGACAGAAAGTTAAAATTAAGGAAAATATTTCACTGGAAAGATATTACATAGGAAACTGAAATTTGGGAAATACATTTTTCCCGGGATTGTTCAAACATTAGGAGGAACATATAGGCAAATCTTGAGCCATGGGATAATCTTCCTTGCCCGCCGCTTGTTCTACCTACCTTCTTCTCTATATTATGTAAACAGTACGAACTCCACGATAGTTACTATCATGCTATCTGCGGTTAACTAGCATAGAAACCATCGCATTTTTTCTATTATCGTGTGATCGCGGCTTCACTAGTAATTAAAAGTATGTTTCTATGACATAAATGCTATATTGTTTAGTTTGTTAAATTTTTTTTTTTTTTGCTTTGAATAATATAATAAGTACCGTCAATCGAGGTGACTTGGAACTGGGAGGTGAAATGAAACACTTCGGTTTTTTTTTAAACATATCAGGTTATCTATAGAACAAAATGATATAATTTAATTCTGCCTCCATTCAAATTAAATTTACAATATTTGTGATAGTAAATGTTATCATCAACCATGTGGTCGGTCTTATCATTACCACCAAAAAAAAATAACCAAACATTTCTTATGATAACAGCGATTTTATCATTGCTCTCAAAAGTGCTTCAAATGTTGGTGGTTGAAGTCAAATTTAAAGGTTTGTATATTTTTTTATACATTAAAGGACACTCCAAAAGCAGACTTTTGTAGTTAAAAGTCCTTAAACATTTTTTTTCCAATTTTATAACTTAAGTTTTATTTTACAGAAGAAAATTAAGGGTGACTTGGAACACCAAAAATGCCAAACAAATACGTGTAATGAACCACAAATTGTATAGTTTAATTGAATGATGTTTATTGGTATTTATTGTTACAACATTGTTTTCATCAATCTTTTTTACATTATTTTCTTTTGAATATAAATTTTTACTCCAAAGAGTTTAAAATAAAAATAAGTATTGAGGGAATTTACATAGAATGGTATGGATTGATTTACATGCAACTTACGGTTGTTTTCCGTAAGTTTGTTGAGATTTGTTTCCATCGTGGCTCATGGTTTTGGACAGCGTACGGAAATGATATCGGGTGGGGTCCAAGTGAAGTCTGAGTGGCTTTGTGACGTCCAAGTGAAGTCTGAGTGGCTTTCTGACGTCCTAGGATTGGATTGGCACTGGTAGTTATCTGTGGCGGCTGCTTTGACGTGACAATCGACGTTTGTTTTAATATATATTGGTCAGTGGTGGCTCGTCTTTGGCGATGTCTTCACGACTGGACACAATATATATACACGTTTCGGTGGCTCGACTACAACTAAACTGTAAATGTACGTTTTCGGCGGCTTGACTCTGACGGTGGAAGGGCGAAATACAAATTAGCAGGAAAAGTGAGTTTTTGGCGTTTTTGACATTTCGCCGCCACCAGGTCGCCGCCACCGTTTCGCCGCCAGACCAAATTTCCGACCAACTCTTCGAATTTTGAAAATGTATTCACATTTCGTTTATTATAGCAATTTTATTGCATTTTTAATCATATTAGGCAATTACTTATTTTTGTGTAGTGTACCTAAATCAAGTTTTAAAAACGAAAGGGGGTGTGTCGTAAATTAGTAAAGATAAAATATCTGTATTCTATGCTTTGTGAAATGTATAATGTATTAATATATTATACTTTAGCCTTTTATCTTATTAAATAATTTATTTCGTTGATTATAGTAACTAGTAAGTCGAGGAGGTTCTATATTATATTGTTCAGTCGCCTAGTGGTTGCAATAAAATATTATCGTGTAGGTACAATTTGTTTTAAGATGCAAGGGTCAGATTAATAATCAATATTCACAAGTCATACGACTACAACGCAAATGATTCTTCTGTATATTATAGTAGAGTAGTACTATTCAACGCACAAACAAATTCCTAAAATATAGGCTTTACAATATGTTCCGGGAGGAAGTGACCGACCGAGGTCATTTGAAAATATGCCAAAAATAATGAAAAATACCATTTAATAAGTGGATCTAACTTTTTGTTTTTGATGTTATGGGCAATTAACTTTTTTTATCAAAACCAAATCTATCAAGCATTTATTTATTTATCGTCAAAACTTTTCAACATTTTGACGAAATTTATTTCTATTTTGAAGCTACCTATTTAATTGTCCTATACTCCTATCAACATACGCAATCGGACAATTATTTTTATTACATTAAAAAGTAAACATTTTTTGTCAACAATTATTATTTTTAAAATTACTAGGTAGGTACTCCAAATAATTTGGTTTTTACTACGGGTTAATTTTTAAATGTTTTACTTTTTTCAATTTAATAAAAATAATATGCACATTTCTGATTTAATTGAGAATGTTTGTTGATAAACTAAATAGCTTTAAATAAATTAAAACAATTCCTTCAAAATGTTGATGTTGAAAAGTTTTGAAGATTCATAAACAAATGTGTGAGAGGCATAGGCGTAATTTGGGGGGGGGGGGGGGGGTTAGCCCCCCTAGTTTTATTCAAGCCCTGCTAAGTTTTTAAATATATTCATTCTTAAATGCACCTAATAAAAAATTATGCGGGTCCGTATTGATTTTATAAATTTAGCCCCCCCAAATCAGTTGTCCAAATTGCGCCTATGGTGAGAGGTTTAGTTTTGATAAAAAAAGTGAATTACCCATAAGTTAAAAAATAAAAAAGTTAGATCAACTCTTTAAAGAGTATTTTTTCATCATTTTTGGTATACTTTCATATTATGACTTCCCCCAGGACTCATTGTAAAATAGAATATATTTACAATAATATTATATTATACACCTATATTATAGGTATTCAAATTTTTTTTTTTAAAAGCAAAATTAAACTTTAGAGTTTAGAGTCTATATATATTTTATATATATTAATTGTATGCACCTACCTATAATTATTAATACAACAGTATGGTATGAATTATAAATGTGACTTGTTACTGTTACAATTGCTTGTCGTGTAATTTAAATATCTATATGATTTTTACTGACTATACTTTCAGGTTACAATTTTTTTTTTTTAAATGGTAGGTAGATCCGGCGCAAGCGCAGTGTCACCAGTGCACCTGCACAGGGCACCAGGCAAATGTAGGGCCCCGCGATAACAAAGCTCACTGCAGAAAAGTAAATCATTACTGAATAAATATTATATAATTATGAAAAGATAACATTTTAAAACTACAGTTGAAATAATAGTGATCTCCGTAGGTACGATTATACGTGTAACCAAACCTTTACTTAAAATTTAATTTTATATTTCTATAATTTAAAAATCCTCAAAAATGTTTAACAATATTTAATATTTACGATACATTTAAGAGCATCAACAACTTAAATCGTAATGAGGTACCTACTACCTACTGAATTAGTTACTTAAACGGTCTAATGTCTAAAGCTAAACTAGCTAGTATGTAGGTACCATAGGCGTGCGCATAATTAAGTTTCTATTGTAATAATTATTATTGTTCATTTATACATGTGTATTGTGTATACAAAACTGATTTTGTATCACAAGAATAATAATATAAACCTTTATAGTTTATTTATAAAAAACTGTTATGCAAAATATACAATCTTTTTACACCTATCAATGTTATTTATTTTATGAACCTACCTAACCTAACCTATGTAAGTCCAAAAATATAACTCTTTTCCATCAAACCTATTCCTATATATAAAGTGTTTACTATATAAATATATTAGTTAGTCTATCTAGACTATAATACCTTCATATTATACAGAATTGACCGTATACGTAGGTACTATATTCAAAATATATTTATACTTTACGTAGACACTAGACGTGTTGGTTATAACTTTACTATAATACTATACCTATATAAGTATATACAGTGGCGTAATTACGGGGGGGGATTTGGGTGTCGTATCCCCCATGAACGTTTTTTTTTTCATCGTCAAACACATTTATACATAGATAATAGAAGATTATTCTATTATCTATGCATTTATATGTACTAATTTTCATGAACTAAGAATCTTCTATCTTCTATCTTCTTAGTTCATGCTAATTTTATTAATGTATATTTTATAGATAGTAAAAAAATCCCCCTAAACTCCATAATATTATATAATCATCCATCAATATTATCAAACCAATAGCAATATTATACCTACCCACTAAAAATAAGTGATGAATTTTCCACATTATCGGTTTATCGAAATATTCTCAATCGCAACGACTCTCCGGACTCTGACTTATTCCGTTAGTCTGTTACTATGTTCTCATTTGGTAATAATCTACTCCAGTGGTTGTCAACCTTTTTGGGTCCACGGCTCCTTTTGATTTTGAAATAAAATATACGGCTCCCATACGAACATTTAAAATAAACAAATTTACATTACTTATAATAATTTTAATCTAACTTTATTTAATGATAAACATGTAATTAGGTATTAATAATAGGAAACATTTTTTTACATGCAATTAAAAAATTAATACATTAATAATAATTTTAATTTTTAATGGGACGGCTGTGCTTGTTTTTGTTGCATTAAATCATCAAATCGTGGGGAAATTTTGATAGTGCGATCTCATTTCCTTTTCGGTATTTAGTTTTCCTCTGTATTTACTTTTGATAACTGCTAAGGCCGAAAAACCCGTTTCACATAAG